GCCCCTTGCACACCGCGATCCCGGCCGGCATGGAGGCGGACCTGAGCCAGCTGAGCGAGGAGGAGAGGAGACAGATCGCCGCTGTCATGTCAAGGGCGCAGGGGCTGCCCAAGGGAAGCGTCCCCCCGGCCGCTGCGGAGCCGCCTTCCATACACAGGCACGCACAGCATGTTATATATGTCCGGGCATATTTGTACAGCTTTCCGTGCACATATGTGCCAGCACGGCGGTACATATATGTCGCCTTCGTTCATTTTATTCTCCTTAATGGGCTGGCGATTAAGAGATCATAAGCCTTCTGTTGGGCAGAATAAAAATGATGCATTAGAGAGTTTCTGGTGGGATAGTCAAGGGTTGCATTTTTGAAACTGTGATAATAGGTGGTGAATTTTGGCCTTTTGGAACCTTTTCCCTCTAGGGTGGCGTGGAGAGACGCCCTCCAGTGTTTTACTAATCTGGAAGTCTTCCATTAATACAAAACGGACGTGTTAGGAAATGGATAGAGGCGGGTGTTTACCTGTCTCCGTTTAAACCTCCTCAGTCATTTCGGGGTGTTTTTTTCCTCTGCGGATGACATCTAAGTATTTCTGTAACAATATCTTTAATTTCCCTGGAGGTGATTTGTCTTTCCTTCACACCCCATCCCCAGAGAAGAGCAGGAGCTGTTTAGGTAGAAGGTATAGCATGAATACACCTTTAATATTCAGTGAGGAACCCTGGAATATGTTGTGGCATTAAACAGATGGTTTGGTCACAGCAGTGCAGGTGCTGTACGTGTATTTATGAATTAGCATATGCTATTTTTTAAACCACTGCTCTTTTATAAGGAAAAGTGTCTTCCAGTTACGGAAGAACATATGAATTTGTGTTATCTTAAAATTAGTTTCCAATACCTACTTTTAAAGACAAAGCAAATAGCAACTTCCACAGGCATAGCGCTAATCTGTGGTTTTAACGTATTCATTTCCCTCTCTAGCCTTCCATTTTCCTCTATCCTAATAAATTAGTTCTTTTCTAATTAGACTACTAAGAGGGTATAATCATCTTGCCTGCCCTGCCTTTATTATTGTAAACAAACCCTTTAACTTTGCACCCTCCCCTACAAAACAGTTCTCTGTCCGTTGTTCTGAAACCATTCCTGCTTAATGATAACTGAAGGAAAACCTACAGTTTTCATCAGAAATACTGGAAATCTGAAAGATTTGGTTATAGGTGTAGACTCTTACTTTCTACTTCATAAAAGAAAAACACTTCAATTTAGAAACGATAATAGAAGTATATTCATATAATTTTGCCAAGTAACTAATACGTTTAATATAGAAGTGTAAAATGTTTTATGGATAGTGACAATATTTTTCACATAAAATCTTAGAATGCGTAAAATTTGTTAAGTAAAAATACTATTTTCTTGAAGTGAAACCAACACTAGTGAAACCTGGCTTTTTTTATATTTAATATGTTTTTCCAGGGTTTTAAACTAGTAACATATTGGGCTATCCCTTTGGTATAAAGCCTTTCTTATCCATTCCCTTAAGAGTACAGCTTATGATATGTACTGTTTTTCTCTACTGATTAAAGCTGACTTGGAAAAAAATTTTGAATGCTCAAATACTAGATTTTTATAGGATAATAACGAGGTAGAGTACTTGTATTAACCTTTTAGAAATACGTGGCAGCTCTTCTACAATTTTTTCTAAGAGGCACAAGCAACAGGTTTAGCATGCTGGCTACCAATACCAAAAAAAAGTAAGGTTTGATTTCTAAACTCCTTACTTCTGTTCATAGGGTAGCTGAAAAATACTGTTTCAGCCTATGAAATTATGGTGTTTTATGCAGTATTTGTATCAGATAAGAGATTTTGTGTCTGCTTATATTTTACTGAAAGATTTCTATAAAAGGTACGTAATTTTTAGAAAGTTATCCCCATATGCAATAACCAAATAAACACTTGATTTATCATTTAGATTTTTCAAAACATTATGTATAAGAAAGTATATCCAAATCATTTCAAGTTTTAAGAGGTTAGTGGTGTAAATTAGACACGATGGGGTTTGATTTATTTTTTTTTAAGAGAAATAAAATTTGAAAGCCCAGAGACTTTACCTTGTTAATTTTAACTGACTCATGGCAAATTATAGATGCTTCTCAGCCACAGGTGCCTAAGTTTCCTTGCCTCTAAGTATGGCCAGTAATACTCACCTTCCCTATCTTGTAGGGCCATTGTTGGAATCAATTAAACATTGACAGGGACATTTTTGTTTGGGTTTTAATTTAAAAGAGCCTTAAAAATAGAGTGGTAACATTAATATCAGCAGTGGATGGCAGTGGCAGTGATGACTGCAGACAAGTTGTATGTTGAATTATTCATTGTTTTGAGTAATTTTGATATATCTGTATTTTCTTACATATGAAGAAATCAGTGCAGTATAGTGGAAATCCTGCCCATGCCCTTCTGCCAGGAGTTAGGACACCAGATTTCTGTGACTGACTAGTCTTAGGACCTAGAATTAATCTCTTAGCCTCTTTAAGCTGTAGTGTCCTCTAAATATGGAAATGAGTAGATATTCCTAAAGTTGCTTATATTTCATTAATATTATAAAATTTTGTGACTCAACACATCAAGTTAAGTGTCATTGCTTGCTGTGTTACATTAAAAATATTTTAGTATTCCAGCTGCTTTTATATTCTTAGACTTGAGTGCATGTTTTTCTCATTGGTAGCTGAAGCATTTTCTTTCTTCTGTTAACCTGTGAAAGAAAATTCTAGTATCGGGATGACAACAGTAAAATGAAAAGGGAGGTTTTATAAAACATGAGTGGTTACAGCTTACAAATGAAATGCTCCTGGATTTTTTGATTCATTGTAGACCCAGGAAATGCCATTTTATTGCTTGTTCTTCTCATTCTATTTAAACTACAGATGTGTTACGTGAGAAGAGCTTTACTGAAAAACACTTCTGCTTAGGAGACGAGTCTTTTGTAAGAATTCTGACTGAATCAGTAATTTTCTTTAGCATTCATTTAGGCCTCCTCTATGGGTAGACACCTCCACAACTGTTTTTCTTCCTAGAGCAGCAAGCCAAGTCCAGGTTCTAAAATGAGTGTGAAGTGTTTCCATTTATACCTCAGAGGACTTGTAGAAGAAGTTAAAGTAAAAATAATTTAGAAAACATTCATCTAGAGTGAAACAAGAACCTGAAACGTTCATTCATTTTTTTTTTACTCGTTATTCATTCATTCATTCATTCATCAAACAGTAATACTCATCTACTAGGTACCAGGTTTGGTTCTAGAGATGCAAAGAGGAGTGAAACAATTTTCTCTCTAGGAGTTCACAGTCCAGTACACAAGACACAGATTGCATTTTAGTCATTTTTCTTTTTAACAGAACAATTGTCGTACCAAAGAAATATTCACCAAAAGACCATAGTTAGCTAAGATACCTTTCTATTTTTGTTCGGTATTGAGACTTCATCTTCTCTTAATCATTGGTTTTCTACTCCTCACTCCCAGATCTCCATATTTTACATTTATTTTCATAATTATAACAACTAAAAGTAAGTTTAAGTTTTAGAGTAGTCTTTATAGATGTACAGGTATTTTCCTACAGGGGGATTCCATAGTATGATGCAACTTAATATGTATAAGAAGTACATGCAGTTACAATTTCTGATGCAAGTAGATTGCTTTAACATTTGGTGTTTACTGTTACCACAAATACTTGGTATTCCCAAAGTTTGTTTTTTGTTTTATACATATGTTGGATTAAGTGAAATAGTATCACAGAAACTGATTAAGTTTAATACTGTTTTTGAGAGAGTACAACTTAGTTAAGGATACATTTTTTTTTGGTACTCTGTTTAAATATAGATTTCTTCAATAAAATACCTAAGTGATTACTTATAGGATAGTCACTTTTACATAGTCCCTAAGCATTCCTTTAGGCCTCCCCTTCACGGGAGTGGTAAACTTTATTAGTTGAATATAGAACATTTCTAGAGTGATGTAAAGATTTAAACAGTGGAACCTTTTGAAAATCATCTCTTTTAGGTTGTTCACTATGGCTCTTCTGCCTTCATATGGAAGGGAGCATGTAGAGACCCCCAAATGGAAATATGTAGCAGTGTGTTTTAAACAGTTGGCAGAATCAATTAGGGTAATAATTTTAGTTCCATATTTAAGTACAGGCTTCAGAGACATGGTAATATCTAAAGTGTGGTAACTTTTTCCCATAGGAAATTGCCTAAGAATTCTCCTTATTCAGCTTTTATTAGAAAATCAATTTCTGCGTACGATGCCATTTATAGATTATTTTCTTTCTGACCATTTGTTGTTTAGAAGTAACACTTCCTTGTTTCTTTCTACTACACCTTACACCTTACATCTTGATCTATACTGAGATTTCTATGTCATTAGAGGAAGTTCACAAACTTAATTCATATTAAGTATCAGATGACCTAAAATGAAAAAGTCCAGTCTATTAGCAGGTAAATTTTGATAAAACAAATTAAAACCTGTTGTCATCATTTCATTTTTCAAATGCTACCAAATAACTCTGTTGCTCTTTTTTCTTTTAATTAAAAAGAAATGAATCTTCAAATCTTTTCCAAAATTCAAAAGTTACATATAAAAAATACTTATAATTTGATTTATTGTGTTGTTCTAATGCAACATGCTCTTATTAGTTGCAACTTTAACAGTAAAGGATAGCTTATTTAAAGATTAATGTGTTTGATATTTGGCCAAAAGTATATATAGGAAACAAGTATTTTAATTATTTAAACCATTGTCATTTAAAATTGATCATGTTTCCAAAACTTTTTAAAAATCTGTCTTGCATATTTGTCTATGAGTTAAAAGAAATCTTGCAGATTATTTGTTATATTTTAAGTCAATATCAATAATAAATATTACTAATCTAACAGTGGTAATAGTAAATGTCATAGAAAGCATTAAGAGATCATTATGTATTTTCTTCATCTTAGAAAAGTAACAACACTTTTCAGAAGTGAGGTCACAACCATCTTGTTGCTATTTGTATACCAGACTATGTCTGAAGATGCTTTAATCATCTTGTTACACTGAGAGGTCTCAGATTAAGAATGCTGTTGGAAAAACAATTGAATAATATAACACTATTCTTGAACAAGAAAAATGAAATTGTTTCTCAAAATTTCTAATTAATTAAAGGAGGAATCTTTATTCTATAAAGTTTAATAAAGGATAATATTTGATGGATATTACCTTTTCTGACAGAATAGGGTAAAATTGAATAGATTATCAATTTTATCAGAGTCCCAGGAAAGGCGTCCTATAACCTTTACTAGGCCCCCTGATGTCATGTTGTGTGCCTTATGTAGCTAATGTAAATTCTAGTTTTAAATAAAAAACAGAACAAAATACAGTTGCAGCAAACTCATTTTAAAATTAATACTCTCACTTCTTAGTATGCTAGGATTTTGGAGACTAACATTCTTTGCCTGTAACTTTGATACATCCTGTGAGCATGAATGTACTGGAACGTGGCATTGCGTGATTTGTTAATATATTTAAGTAGGCTTTGAGTATGACCAGACTCTATTAAGTGTAAGTGTAAATTATTTTTATTATGGATACTTTCTAATTAGATAGCTTAAGTTTTCGTCACCCATAGTAGCAAGTATTGTGTTTTCTTCTTTTCTTCACCTCCCTGTTGAAAACCTGTACCCATGTAAAGAAAGTAACCAAGATAGTGAAAATTTTATGATCACTTACAGGATGCTATAAAAACAGATTCTGATTATAGTTATACATTCATAATTTTAAGGATAGTAGAAAATAAGAGCTTTTCAATATTATTTCGAGTTGTGATAATTTTCATTATTTTCACTTCTTTTTGTTTCATTCTTCTAGGAAACAAGAGTTGGACAGTAGTCATTCTCCAAAGCAACCAGGAAAACCGCCGGACCCTGGGCGTCCAGTTCAGCCTGGCCTCAGTAAAAGTAGAACTACAGACACTTTGAGGTCAGAGCAGAAATTGCCTGGAAGGAGTCCTTCCACTATTAGCTTGAAAGAATCAAAATCCAGAACTGACTTTAAGGAAGAGCACAAGTCTAGTATGATGCCTGGCTTCCTCTCAGAGGTTAACCCTTTAAGTGCTGTCTCCTCTGTTGTAAATAAATTCAATCCTTTTGATTTGATATCAGACTCTGATGCCTCTCAGGAGGAAGCCACCAAGAAACAAAAAATAGCTCAGAAGGAACAAGGAAAACCTGAAGGAATCACAAAGCCTCCGTCACAGCAGCAGTCACCCAAGTCAGTTCCTAAGCAGCCAGGACCTGTGAGGGCCCCGCTTCAGCAGGATGGCTCTCCCAAATCTGTATCTTCTCAGCAGCCGGAACAAATTAAATCGCAACCTCAAGAAACAGGAAAGCCAACTCATGCTCCTCAGACAGACCCGGCAAAATTGCCACTTCAGAGAGATGCAGCCAAGCCTCCGACTAGACAGACAGACACAGTAAGGGGAGAATCGGTTAAACCCTCACTGCAGAGCCCATCCAAGCCACCTATTCAGCAAGTGAGTCCTGGAAAACCTCCAGCCCAGCAGCCTGGACCAGAAAAGCTTTCCACACCACAGCCTGGGCCTGCAAAGCCCTCGGCTCAGCAGCCAGGACCAGCGAAGGCCCTGGTTCAACAGCCAGGGACAGCCAAGTCCCCAGCCCCACCACCAGGGACCACGAAGCCTGCAGCTCAGCCTGGGCCAAAGACTCCTGCTCAGCAGCCAGGGCCAGCCAAGCCCCCAGCCCAGCAGCCAGGGCCACCGAAACCCCCAGCCCAGCAGCTGGGGCCACCCAAACCCCCAGCCCAGCAGCCGGGGCCACCCAAACCCCCAGCTCACCAGCCTGGGCCGCAGTCTCCAGCTCCGCCAGCGGGGCCTGCAAAGACTCCAGCCCAGAAGGTTGGGCCAGGAAAGACTCTGGCTCAGCAGCCAGGCCCAACAAAGCCCCCTCCTCAACAGCCGGGCCCAGCAAAGCCCCCTCAGCAGCCGGGCCCAGTAAAGCCTTCAGCTCAGCAACCTACAAAATCAGTAAGCCAAACGGGAGCTGGGAAACCTCTGCAGCCACCAACTTTTCCATCTGCAGCACAGACTCCAGTACAAGGCCTCCCAAAAACCATCTGTCCTCTTTGCAATACCACTGAACTTCTGTTGCATGTTCCAGAAAGGGCCAATTTTAACACATGCACTGCATGTCAGACCACTGTTTGTAGCCTCTGTGGTTTTAATCCAATCCTCATTTAACTGAGGTAAGTACATTTATTCATTGTATTCATACTCTGAGAGCGTATCATCATCTTTTGCAAATGATGCTTAGTTTATTTCTGATGTGGTTGGATGACACTGTTTACCTCTGCTTCTTTTCTTCTTTCCCTCCTTCCTACTTTCCTCTTTTTCTTCTCTGCCAAATGTACTTTGGAATGTTTCAGCATTTTCTCCAGTAATCATTCTCCAAAGTATCACCACAATTTCTGATAAATTTGACATGTAAAGGAAATTGGATTGATTGAAAGATGTCGAGTATTTATTTACTCATTGCATTCTGTGTGTGAGATCCACACTGTTATTTAGAATACCGTGATATTATAGTAACTTTTAAATTCATTCTCCTACCTGTCATGATAACTGTTGATAAAATATTCTTAAATGGGGGGAGGGTAGAGCTCAGTGACAGAGTGCATGCCTAGCATGCACAAGGTCCTGGGTTCAATCCCCAGTACCTCCATCAAAAAAGTAAATATACCTAATTACCACCCCCTAAAACCAAAAAAACAAACAAAAAAATTCTTAAATGGGATCATATTTGGGCTGGGAAAAAAAATGGAGTGTTTTCAAATTCTAAATACAATTATAATTTAAAATTGAGCACATTTTTTGAAACTGCACATGCCCGTTTCCTACCAGTGTCTTTGCTATAGCTTATGAGAGCATGCTTCCCTCATTAATTGAGTGGTTAATAACAGTATAAGTCAGTTGATAAACTGAAGATGCCAGGAGAGCAGGTTCAACATTGATGGGTGTCTTCTAGGAATGATCACAGTTTGTATCTCCAAGTCTTTGCTTAAGCCTTCCTGACATATCAAGTTGCGAAGGGACCAGTAGCGACACAAATCAGCTCAAGGTGGTTGATTCTATTCAGGATAAAGAAGTGATTCTCAGCAAGTCAGTTAATGTCAACTCAGCACTTAAAGGTCCTGAATAAAAAAAGCATTTTAATAGGTGGATATTTGGGCACATTCAAGGGAGAAGGGACAAGAGATACTTAACAGCAGAAAAACTCATTCTTTGGATTTAAGAAATAATACAGTGAAGATGGGTTAATTATATGAATAAAATGAAAATAAAAAGGCTTAGTATCCAACAGAGTGTACTTTTGAAAGAGATGCAGTACCCCTACCCGATGAGAAGACACTGAACCCATTTAGTCCATCTGGAGAACAGCCATTAGTGGGCTGTGTGTGCGTTATGTCTGCGAACAGCCCAGGAAGGAATGAAGGCAGCAGGCAGTGAAGGATTATGTGACTTAAATATCCCTGCGGGAGGAGACTCGTGTACCCTTGTTGTAAATGAAATCTGGGTTCTGATAAAAGCAACGGTGATGATTATTGGTAGCTGTTACGTTAGTTTGGATCCTTACTGTGATGAAAGATAAAAATGATGTGCATTTAAAATGTGTCAACCTCTGTTTTTTTTTTTTTCTGAAGTATCTTTTACTCTTTTAACCAGAAGTCACATTAAGTACTTTTAAAATAAGCCATACTTTAATGATACAATGGCTGTTAATAAGAACATTTAAGTTATGGAGGAAATCAGATTATAAATAGTTTATTTGGAACTTATACATATATTTTGGAATTTAGTTTATAATATATTTATATATTAGCTTATTTATATATTTTAAATTTTGATAAAGATATGTTTCTGCCCATAGTATACCATCTTGATAGGAATTTGCAGTAATAATGACTTCACACAGTAGATGATCAACTTATAAAATGTCATTTTTTTTTTGTGGCAACTTACAAGGCAGAAATATGTAGTTGCATGTTCAATCTGCTTGTATTATTTGAGTACCTACAATATAGATGGAATTTTACTACATGTTTGGTAGGATATAAAGTAAAATATAATGCTAGTCTTAACATGATCAGAATGTACTAAGTTAGAAAATACATGCATAAGGAAATATAATACGTGGTCAGAGGATAAAACCTGTGAGAGAGATGAGCAAAAATTGTGAACTTCAGAGTGGGAAGTGCCATTTCCAGTGGGTGAGGTTAAGGAAAGCTTCATGGAGAAGGTGGCATCTGTGCTAGTTATGTAAGGATGGACATTATTTCAGCTGACGAAGGACATGAAAGGCAGTAATGATTTGATCTAAGACGTAGAGCCAGAATAATGCAGGGTGTGTTCAGGGAATCAGGGATGAATCTAGGTTGGCTGAAGTGTTGGGAAAGAAATGGGCAATGAGATTGTAAAGAAGGTGAAGTCAGATTTTGGCCTTCCACATGAGTTGGTTGCAGTGAGCATTCTGCTTTAAGAAACTTACCTTGATTAATGTAGTCATGCGTTCAATCCTGCATTCATTTTACGAATGTGTGTCAGATGCCTAGTTGTGAAATACCAGCAAGTACTTTGATAGAATCAGGTATTTGTTAGATGTGGAGTCTTCCATCAACCGGAAAATTAGGGAAATAAACATTGTCTGTGGGGATATCACAGATTATCTTCATGGAAACAGAAGTATTTGAGCTGGAAATGTGAAGAATAGTTAAGAACTTGGACACACATGACAGGAGTTGGGAATATGGGAGCAAGTAGAGGGCCTCACTGGCTGAAAAAAAGAAAGCATCCCCATTATTGATGAGATAAGCTTGGGCAAGTCATTGACATCTTCCATAATGATGATGCCTTTTGAATAATGGAGGTGATAACATGCTTTCTGCCAAACACATTGGGTTGTTAGGAGGATTAACTGAACATTTGTATGAGAGGTATTTTTCAATATATGAAGTGCTTCTGAAGTTGGAATATAATGCACCGTGAATAATCTAAATATTTTAAACAGAGTTGACTTTTAAATTACTCTCAGATTGTTTTCTGCATAGATACAGCCGCATAAATTGTTGGGTTCTGAGGTAACAGTCAAAAGTCGCTTGATGTACAGTATTAATAGCAACATTTCATTTTCAGTTTCATTTTTGCCCCTTTGCCCCATAAATTAGTATATAATCCTAATTTTTATTCTGCACTCTAGAAAGACATCTTCCCTAATTGTGTCCACCAAGTGGCCGGTTACTGAAACTCTTGAATTATCAGGAGGTCAGAGTTGAAAAGTTAGAGCTCTGGATAGAGGCTGAGAGCTTTGTTTCAAGAGATAATAAAGGTGAAATTTTGGGGATGATCACCACTTCTGGACTGTTAGGCGTATCTGTGAGAAAGTAAGCTTCTCTGCATCTTCCGAAGAGGATGTAGCACTATGAATCACGTTGTCCTCAGATACTCTGATTGAGCAAATGGTTCCTCCACACAGAATGGAGACTGAGGCTGGACACTGTGTAGTGCTTTAATTTACATGAATTTATTACTTTCAAGTTTGCATTTGTAAAGTAATTCTCTGTGTTATTACTTTTATAATCTATTGGGTAAAATAAAATCTTGGTCTCTTGTATCACTCCTTGAAAACACCAGGAGAATTTCTGATACTTTTTGTTGCAAACACAGAATTATGACTATATTTGCTTATGCACATCCTGGCTTTTAAATGACTACCAGGTCTGAGGAGGAAGGACTGGAGAGGTATCGACGCTCAGACACAAGCTTTAGGGAAGGGGGCTTTTACTTCCCTAAGTAAATATGCCAGCTCTGCTTCCCCCCTGCCCACCTGACACACATACACACATCCATACACATACACACCAACACACACATACCTTAGATGACCCAAATATCTGTGTGAAGAGGATGGCATTTAAATTACCTGTCTTCTCTGGTGGCTTTCAAGATG